TACAATCTCCACTTTGTATCAACAACAATGTCAATCTAATTATAAAGAAACAATGAAATCAATTATAATACTAGTCTAATCCTTACAAATGAGAGAAAATAACACTAACAAGTAGATCTTGTTTAACATGTCCATCCTTTTTTAAAAACCAGGTGCTTCAATGATGCAGTAAATAGTTCCCTGGATGATGGATGGCAATATGTTGCCACTGACAAAGTAGATAATATCAGCATCATTTTAAATTCATGTTCAAGTTGTTAAGACACGAAATTGAAACATAAAGATTCAAGCCAAAGATTTCAGATTAGTGGTGGAGCTATTGTATGTGTAAAGGCTCAGTATTTCTACAGGTAGTGCACTTTATTCTACAAAGTCATCCATGAGAGCACTACCTTTCATGAGAAAGTATAATATAATCATGAGAGCACTACCTTTCATGAGAAAGTATAATATAATCCTACGCTATGGAAGAGTATAACTTATTGAAAGGAAGTGCTCTTTCGTAGTTATACTCGTTCATAGTCTAGGATGGCAATGGCCACAAGGAACCATAAGTATGCCCACACCCTCCATTTATTTAGCAGTATCTGACTTTTCCGTCATCCCTGGCTATTTGATGGCAATGAGCCCACTTGACTGAGAATACCATATTCCCTTTCAATATAACTAAGCCAAAGGGGGACTAAAATATTAAGTGCTCTTGTTACATAAGCATAACAGAGCCATCTGGTGCAAGATGTACCACCTCCAGATATTAGTCTGATATCTTTGTGACCATCGACTCGAATGGACAAGTTGGATTGCTGGAAATCTTGATTCGGAGATGGGAGGCACCAAGTTCATATGCTTTTAGCCGACTTGTTGACCGACAAGCGGTGGTTTAAAAGAATTGTACTAATTTACACCGTAAGGAATATTCTTTTCGGAATTTCCGTGGTACAAAAGTAACTGCATATAGGATTATAAGCATCTCAATAACAATAATAATAATGATAACCCCAATTCAGAGAATTACACGATAGCCAGATGGGTACATCACACTACACCCATAATGATGTAAAAGGCTTAAACCGTGCTTCTAGTGCCAAATTATTTTTTCCTTAATTAATAGTCATCATCATCGTCAAAGCCTTTTCCAAACTAATTGGGGCCGGCTATACGAATCATGTTCCATCATTCTGTCCTATAAAAGGTCATACCCTCAATGAGGCCATAAGTCCTCATCTTCCTTCACTACTTCTAACCATATCCTTTTGGGTCTACACGTTGCCTTTTTTTAGCCTTCCACTTGAACAAACTCGCACCTCCTAACAGGTTTTATGTTGGGTCTGCACCACACATGGCCAGCCCACTTAAGTCAACTCTCTCTCATCTTATCGTCTAGTGGTGCCACACCTAAATTTTCCCAAATGTATTCATTTCAAATTCTATCCATTCTTGTCTTGCCACTCATCCCTTCTTGTTTTTACTTCATTAAGAGTACATGTGCAAATTCCAACTTCGTTTTCATGTGCGTTTTCCATAAATAGAGAACAGCATGCACAAACAATCTCTAAGCATATTTATTACTAAAAAAAATCTGCTCATATATCTCTGTTGAGACTGGACTTTTATTCATCTCTCATCTCCTCTGCTTTTCAGTAAGATATGACCAAAGATTCATAAGAGAACCAGAGAGGGCTTCCAGTTCCTCGTACCTTGTAATGCTGTCTTGGTCAAAGACTCAGCCACCCTAGAACCAACCATGTGTCCATGTTCGTTTATTATTAACCAAGTGTATTTCACTACAAAAGGGAATCAAGACTCTGACTTTGTCTTATTTACCCTGCCAAATAGGGGATCCTTGTATCTTTTCCCTTTTTGCATCTTTGGCAATATACTCCAAACTTCTATTCTATATACTGGCACATAAAACCATTTCCATGAACAAGGATGGTATTCCATGTCAGTATGTAACTACTGCTTCATTGAGGAAGAATAAGATGGCTCTTTCCTCCAAGCCTTTTCTAGAAGCTTATCAATCTGATCACCTTTTTTATGTTGCATTTTCTAGATTTTGGAGTTGATTAAATTTGAAGAATATGAATCTTCACACGATGGAGCATTATCATCAAAGAAGAAGAATTTGATTCAGGTCCAACTGAACCGATTCCTAGGACGTGGTAGCTTGGTTTTAACAGCCCGCCCAATTTAGTAAGAGTACACTATAACCCAATAGACTATGGAAACCTTTGGTTCATTAGGTTCACTACTGTCCAATGAAATATGAATAGTGATGAAGAAGGAATGGGATTCATGATGGGTCCAACCTGTTCTGGTGCACCACAGTCTCTGGCCATCACCACCCATTGCTTCATTGGCCAGTACCCTGATGACCCAATGGACAATGAGTATAAATAGGCCATTGGATTAGAGTGTATTTTCCCTTCGATTAATCAATTTAATCGACTGGCATGTACTACTAAATATCCTATGGGTATTATTTTGCAGCTTCATGCTGGCATAAATGACACGACAGAGTACATGTTCCCAATTGTTGTTTGCCCCATTTGATGTTGCCCTCTCTGGTGACATACCTTTGTCGTCGTCTGGCTTCTAAGTCTTGCCTTAAAAAATAATGAATTAACGTCGACTATGACCCCTAGCCTTTCCAAGCTAACAATGCGGGTTCGATTCCCGCTCCCTCCATATCCCTCCCTACATGATAGAATCATTGATATTTATATACATCTTTATTCCATAAGATTCCCGCACGGGATACAATCAATCGGATTATGTTAAACAATCGCTGTGAGGTCAGTTACTACTACTTTTGCAATGATGTAAGAGAAAATATATCAGTTTCCAATGGATTATAGAGGACCATAATCCAAGGATACACCCACAACCAAACTCATAGAGGGATGTTTAGAAATTAACTGCACTTGGGTTTCATGTGTTCCCGTTTCATGTGTTCCCCATTGCAGTTAATGTCGAACCATCAATCAGTTGGAAGAGATAGTGGACATAGCCTCGGACAATAGTTCTGTCTTTTTCAGTTAGTTGTAGTATTCTTTCGCATGATGAAAGAGAGTATTTGTAAGAGTCTTTGTAACACATGCCATTGTCTTTATAGGGTGATCATGGCATCTCTCCCATAACTGATTTAGGTGACTCATCTGAAAATGCTATTAACTTGGAAACGGTACTACCTTAAGAAAGGCATGCATTTCCACAAAGCCCAAGATCAGTTGTTACAATGGCATTACAATTCGCATGTGAAAATCACAAACTAAGACAGGGTATATCAGTAGCAACTCAGAGATATATGGGTGCTCTGCTTTCATCGATTCAAAGGCTAGCTATGCTTATTCTATCTAAATATGACCTCTTCTGATGCAACAGTCTTATGTGAATGCAAGGTGACCTACAAAATTTTATCGGATAGATTTCCATAATTTCAATTTTCAAGCATCACTTTCTCAAAAAAAAAATTTCCAGCATCATCAGTTTTTGTATTGGGTATATCCTAACATTAGCATAATGAAGGCATAAATAGGATTAAGGAAAGCATGCTACGATCAAATAGACTGTGGACACATATTGTCCGTGGGGCATTCACAGTCCAATGATATGCAGGTCGGTGTTGAATAGAGATAGTACAAAGTAGGAAGTTTACTATAGACCCACATATGGTAAATGCTAAGATGCAAGTATGTGCCACCATGCTATCTATCCTTTTTATGGGTTTGGAGTGATAGTACTGCACCTATGAGAGTCAATAGATTGTTATAAGTGTCTACTTGAATCATCCCATGACGCTAAACCCAGCTGAAACCATGCCACAGAATCCTCAAACTGATCACAAGATCTAGGAAATAAATTGGAATTGATCTTCAATCAACTATATCATCTAGTTAAGGCTTCTGTTTTACAAAGTGATGCCAAAATAAGCATAATGTTGCTAGAACTTGAGAAATCGAGCTACATTCTACAATGTTGCCTATTTTTGGGGTGGTGTCTTTTTTGTTTTTTTTTTGTTTCTTTTGGTTTGAGCAGGAGGGGGATTGAAGTCAAAGGGTATACATACAGAGATGAAAAGACAACATTACAGAACAACTATTTAACAGCAGAAATCCGCATATGAAGATCTATTTGTTATATAGAGACAATCCTCCTTTGTCAATAATGATTTTCTAAGTAAAAAGTTAGATTAACATGTCAACTTTTTATTCATATACTCTGTCAATTGTCATTCAAAGTTAATAGTTTTAAAATACTGTTTTTTCTTGTTTTTGGTGTTAAAACACTTAATTCATACTACAAAGGATGTGAAAGTATATGGCAGTTACAGCCAAAGCTCATATGCTCAAATGTTACTGGTATGAAAATGCTCAAGACAACACCAACAGCATTGCGACAAATACATTAAGGAAATGGTCATTAATAGAATTGTCAAAAAAGTAAAACTCATAGACCTTCTTGAAAGTTTCTCTCTATGTTCTTCCAGCCTTTTAAGTAATATGGTTTCAAAAAATGTTGCCGTAACAGGAAAAATACTATTTCTGTCACAGTTTTCACTATATACACATATCTTCCACCAGGCAACTGTCTTGCGAGCCATGGAAGGCCCTTCACATATGAGAAAGCTATAGCATAGACCCAATCAGACAGTGATGGGAGTAGGGCACATATTGCTTTGAGGTTTATTAATTGGTCACTCTAGTCAGTACTTTCACCAAAACCCCATTTCCTGTAACTTACTTTTTGAATTTAAAATCTTATACCATGATTTTTTTTATTTATTTATTTTTACATATGAACTAAGAATGTAGAACATCTACACACTACATGTCACGACCCCGCTCCTTGACCCCTGCCGGAGGGTGACAAAGTGCGGGATCGCGACCGGAGGCCGCGAATGTCACTCAGGTGGGAGTGGTTCAACGCATGAAACACGAAATCGAGAGCAAACCACGAAAGAAAACTAAAATAAATCCATTCATCAAACAATAATCAAGCCAAAAAAAAAATACAGCCAATTCATTTCTTCCCAAATCACAAGTCTTTACAAGTTCGCTAAGGCACTACTAACCCAAAATACACAAAATGATGAATACATCATATCATTGAAATCACCAAAACATACTGCCGAAGTTTTGGAAGGCGGATTCTCAAACTTCTTAACCTCAGGCTTCAGGCCCTCAATCTGCCACCCACCTTAAGCACAGCTGCCACCACCCTTCACTCTATAGTTATGAAATTAAGATGGAATGAGCTAAAAGCCCAGTAAGCAGATCACTACCCTTGTATTCCTGACTATCACAGTATATACACAATAACATGCTCATAGTTCATCAGAAATCGCATTTGTCATACAGAATACAAAATTCAGATAGGCAGGATAGATATCCTTACAGAATACGGAACTCAAATAAACAGAACAAATATCCTTACAAAATACAAAATTCAAATAAGCAGAACAGAAATCCTTACAGAATACAGAATTCAGATAAGCAGAACAGATATCCTTACAGAATACAAAATTAAGATAAGCAGGACAGATATCCTTATAGAATACCGAATTCAGCTAAGCAGAACAGATAAAGCTACCCCCAAAGTAGAAACCACATTGATCACGCTAAGTCAATCCTGAACTTGGGACTTTTACCCTCATTCAAAAGGGAGGACAATGACAAGTAGGTAAATCTGCTTCATAATGTCCTCACTCACGCACACATCCTCCCCAGCACGCTTTGGGGTTTTCGATAGGCTGAGGCCTTGCAAGACACGACCCGCACTTGTGCCTTAAACGAGAGGGGCGTTACACTACCATTGGAGGACCCAATGTGTAGTGCCCAGAACAATGCGGGAGGCGCGACCCTCTCAGTAATAAACAGTCACATCTCGCCTCCACTCCTATCATAGGATTCGAGGTACAGAATACCCGACTACCAATGGAGGACCCATTGCGTAGCGTTCCTAGAATCATAAATATCCACTACTAATTAGAGGACCCATTTCATAGTGGCCAGAAATCACAGAATGACAGAATTCATAAAACAGAATCAGAAATCTCCACTACCAATTGAGGACCCATTGCGTAGTGGCCAGAGATCTCAAAATAACAGAATTCATATAACAGAAATCAGAATATCCACTACCAATAGAGGACCCATTGCGTAGTGGCAAGAAATCACATATAACAGAATGCATATGACAAAATTCAGAATACTCACTACCAATGGAGGACCCATTGCGTAGTGGCCAGAAGTCATAGAGTAACAGTTTCCATATAACAGAGTCAGAATATTCACGACGAATGGAGAACCCCTTGCGTAGCGGTCGTGACACATATATCAATATTCATATAACATAATCTCAGTGTCATATTCACAGTATTGCAGTACGTCAGTATCAATATCATAGGATGACAATGTCAATAACACAGAGTGATAGTATCAATATCACAAAATAGCAGTATCGGTTTTGCCTTTTTACAGTATCAATGTCACGGAATATCTGTATCAGTATCACGGAGTAACAGAGTACCCTGCTTCACATCACTATAACTTTCGAACCGTGAAGAATTTTGAGACCGTTTCAAAATCAAAGTTCGAGCCAAGACATATATCTTTCCAACAAGACCAACTTGGAGCATTTGGACTCCATTTGGTTGTTCAAAAGTTTGGGCCAATCAAGGTGACAGTTCTGAATTCTATCAATACTGCCCACAGCGACATACCTTCATAAAACGAAGTATAACTTTCATTTAAAAAAATAATTTCAAATAATTTCTACAAGGGACTTTTAGTCCATTCAAAGATCTTTCAAATGGATGTGGTTTGGCCAAAAATGGACGTCGTTTGATTAGTTGAAATCAGTGACCACAGTGGTACAAAATGAAAAATCCAGGAAACAGTCAACAGTGACTTACCTTCATATGTTGGAACATAACTTCATTTTCTTAAGGACTTTCAAAAAGTGCTCAACATGTGAATTGAAGCTAACTCATAAACAGTTCCAATGGCAAACTCAGTGACATCAGAGGCATTAAATCTGTGCTTTTGCTAAAACTGTCTACAGTGACATACCTTCACATTTCGAAATATAACTTTTTATATATAAAGAATCAAGACAAGATGAAAACAAGAACATTAAATAGATTTATAAATCTTTCTAATGGGGGTGGTTTGAGATCAATCGGACCCCATTTGATAGTTCCAAAGCCTCGTTCAAGAACACACATATTTCTGAAATTTCATGGTTTTATTTAACATGTCTCAAGAATGCATTCCATAACCATCATTTTATAATGAAGAACATGCTAACTTCCATTATCTCACAATGTGAACACACATAACATGCATTTCTTACATAATCTAAGAATCACACTCCATTCTTACATTCATCATTATCATAGAACAAAAACAAAGTTCCATTGAAAAAGGCGTAAGGTTTTCTACCACATATACTCTTCTATTGCTCATTCACATGCCTAAGTTTCCATGAATTCCCATGACTACAATACAAGGGTAATGGATCCACTTACCTAATTAACAATGGGCATTCTCCAACCTTTGCTCACAACTCTCACCCGCCCAACAATGGCTGCTCACAAAATCACTTCTTCCACTTTATGTCTTAGAGAGAGAGGGGTAAGAATGAGGGGAGTGGGTGAGAGAAGAGGCTTAAGTACTCTCATGTTTGGGATGGCTGGCCAAGTGTCATCAAGGAGGTTCAAAATATGGACAAGTAGCACCCACATTAGCATGCATTCAACAAGTGTCACCTCCAACTCATGCATGTTAGAGACACAGCCAGCGTTGGGCTCTCTACTAAGCCAGCACTGGTACACTTCCCCTCCTTCCAGCCGGCACTGGCCTCTTTCTCCAACACAACTGGCGCTGGCCTCCTTCTCCAATACAACCGGCGCTGGCCTCCTTCTCCAACCGGTGCTAGACAACCCAACCGGTGCTGGCCTCCTTCTCCAACACAACTGGCGTTGGCCTCCTTCTTCAATACAACCGTTGCCAGCCTCCTTCTCCAACACAACCGGCGCTAGCGTTCTCACTTCCCTATCTTGCCATGCCTTCTAACTAGCCAGGAAAAGTTTGGGTCGTCACACTACATAGCATGCTTCATCTGTCCGCAGGATTGTTCAAAAGATCAAGACTGTCCATTCAAAAAGTTGTTGTAAACTACCAGTTTTTTATTCTATTTGAGGTATATCTCACCAGCCTCTTGTTGAATATTCTTATCAAATCTTTCTAAACAAACAGAATTTACATGTTAATTGCTTCAAATCCAAATCATAGAATGTTACTGACATATTATTGTAGGCTAACACCAACCATCCAAGTATACATGTCGAGTAAAGAGAACCAACTATTAATGCAGGAGCTGCACAACCATCACAAAGAAAAACCCTATAAAGGACTCATCTTCCCCAACAAAGAGAAAAAGAAGGATGAAAGAACCAGAATGTTCTCCATGGAAAAATCAAGTAAACAGCAACAAGAACAAAAATTTCCAATCCAATCCAATTCAAAAAGAAAGATGCATGAATCAGATTAGAGAACCCAGATATTCTTCTTAACGAATGATCCCCAGCACCAGAAAAGGGAAACAAAATTTGTACTGTTGCACCGATTATATAACAGTACTAGTAAAACTGTAAAAGTACACAACCCAACTATGTATCAAAACAAAGACAAAAACAGAGCCCAGAAAGAAAAAGGAACTTTACTCTGTTTTCAATACTTTCCCATCCATTGATGCCTTACCGATCCTGAAATTCAAGTTGGAATCAACCCATCAATGTTTCTATGATCGAAAAACAAATTCATTGCCACCATTGAAGCAATAATAGCGAAACTCGCCAAAAATGCCCCACTAAAAGTACATACTGAAAATCTCATGAATTTCTTGGCATCCAAATTACCGCACATCTCCGGCTTATTATCCCCCATGTATTTCTCTGGTTCAGTTTCTAAATGGAATGAAGAACTTGCAGAGGAAGAATGGCTCCTTTGTGTACTCTCAGTCCACAAGGGGCTCCTCTCTTTCTGCAACTCCTCTAAATTGCCATCTAATCTCTCTTCTTTGATGTCCATTATCTTATTCACACTCTCAATTGAAGGTCTGTGACCAAGGGCATTTCCAGAAAAAATAGGTGAACCAGGTTCTGAGAGAGTATCAAAAACTGAAACATTTCTTTCATCAAAAACCCACTCTTCATCTCCTTTGAATTCTCCTTCAAAACCATAATCGAACCCAAAATCAACATCGGGAAATAGGACTTTGGCAACCCTAAAAATATCTGAAACCAGAGAGATTAAAGAAGGGTCTCGACCGAATTCTAATCTCTTAATCTCATGAATACAAGCTGAAACCTCCGATTCAAGAACCCCAACATCAATACACCTCATCAAGAAGTTCACCACCTGCAATGCATGGAAGATCTCGGCCGTCGATCTGGCCTCTCGTAGGATCTTGGCTATAGATTTCAGGATCGCAGAGCCATAGGCCTCAAGAATGAAACCATTAGTCTCAGCTAGAGCGCAAACCAACTTCATGTGTGAAATTGATCGAGTTTCAACGGCTTGAAGAGCTCCAGCTACTCTCAAACAAACCTGGTTCACCACTGTTACAGGCGCATGAGACCATGCCTCTGATTGAACAAGCCTTTGCAGGCAATCAGCACAACCCTCCGCAAAGTTAGGGTTTTCAATGCCAAGGAGCCCATCCAGTAAGGGAGATGAAATCCCCATTAAGATAGCTTCAGTTTCTTGAGTGGGGTCTGTGGGGTTCAGGGTATATCTAGAGAGAGAAGAGACAACCCTAGAACAAGAGGAACGCAGGGATGGGGAACCTAGAGAGAGACCATTTGTGACAATGGACATGATTTCAGGGATTTGGGGGATCAGGGCTTTGCCGTGGTGGAGAGCGAGGAGCTCGAGTGGGAGAGAGGAGGAGGAGGTGGTTCTTAAAGATGGTGTTCTGGGGGAGTTTTGCTCTTCTGCATCCATTGGAAGATGAACAATTCTTCGGGTATCCGGGTGGTTTGGAGTAGAGAGACAAAATGGTCGGTCTTCTCTGGTTTCACTAGGGTTTATGCGGGCAGGAAGAGAAAGAGAGAGTTGCCTCCAAAACCGGATGGTTTGACTTTTGGACACTTCCGACCGTTGGTTGGGCGGGCCGGCGGGTTGGCAGGCCGGCGGGCTGGACAGAGAAACGAAATTCAAAACGTCCCTTCCCTTCCCTTATGAAAAAGGACACGCTCCCTGTTCCTTCTCTCTCTCTCTCTCTCTCTCTCTCTCTCTCTCTCGGACACTCCTTTCTGCCTCTCTCTCTCTTCCCCCCTCCCCCTTTCAGACACTCCTTTCTGCCTCTCTCTCTCCTCTTTTAAAAGATACTTGCAATTTTTAGAAAACAGGACACCTCTCTGCCTCTACTTTCTCTAGCCCTAGGAATGGCAACGAGTCGGGTCGAGTCTTTGTACCAACAATAGTCCTAGGGAAATGGATCGGGTTGGGTCGTAATGCCATCAATCGAACTTGGGCCTGGCTTTGGTTTTATTTTTAGACCCAATCAGTAAGGTTCATGTCCAAGTCAAAAATTAGGGGCCCAACAACACATCTAAGTTGACCTAAACCAACTCAACCCGTTCTGAGCTCAATATTTTAGATGCACTATTTATTTATAAGAGTAATGATCCTATGAGACCCACCCACACCCATGTATAGGACTTCAAATGATCATCATTAAATTTGGTACAGATCTCTAAAAAATATTATCACATGGGTGTGAGACTTGACTTTTTTGTAGATATGTGTCAAATTTAATGATGATCCTTTGAGATCCTACATAAAAATGTCTAGAATCATTACTCTTAATATAATAATATTGTATATTAGGAAAAGTTTATATATAGCCAAGACTCAACAATCACAATACAGCCCACGTCGAAAAATTTCACTAGAAGATATTGTTTTTATACCCATATATCCTCAAATTGATCATCTCGATATCAAGATGCATGGACATGAAAAAAATTTGGATTTCAAATTTTGGAAATAATGCATTTTGGATCCATCAATTTTCAAGTTTTCATGGATATGTTATGTCTACATTATTTTTTAGATTTTAAATTTTATAATTAAATATGAAAATATACTATCACAAAGATTTCCAGTATGGAAAGCACATTTCTCGACACTGTTTGATTGTTTCGAGCTTCGGCCCTATACAAATCGCAACCTATAATTATTATTGAAATTGTATATAATGAGACTATTTATCTTTGATACAAGGTACTCACAATTACTTACAACCATCTGATGTGAAATTTGATAGCTTGAATGTACCACAAAGTTCGAAAAAATTTCTTTTGAAGTTTGAACTTAGTCAATGAAATAATTGCAGCCACCCAATTTCACATCCAATGGTCAAGATTAATGTGACCACCTTGTACCAAAGGTAAATGGTCTCATTCTATACTTTCCCATTATTATTTCATTATATTTTTTATACACTCTATGGCATATTAATTTTTAATTGGTGTAGTTTGTATAAAGTTACAACCTTAAACAATCAAATTAAGGCGCACTTCCAAAATTTTCCATAAATATAATTCTGGTTTCCAAAATTCTTTGGATGGCTTGAGAATCTATTTTTATGTATAAGTATAAAATATTAAACTCCAACAACGATTCAAATCAAGTAGATCTATAAACACTTGAAAATCTTGAAAATGGCAGTCTGGATAATTTGTTACAAGATATATTATTTGCCTTTAAAAAATCAAATTATAGAGCACCTCAAAAATTTCAGTGGAAGAGGTCGTTTAGATGCCCAAATATCCTCAAATTGATCATCTCAGCCTCAAGATGCACGGAAATGAGAAAAAATAGATTTTAAGTTTTGGAAATAGTGCATCTTGTAATGCATTTTTGGATCATCAATTTTCAAGATTTTCAAGTTTTCATAGATATTCTAGATCTACACTATTTATGAAGCTTTAAATTTTATAACTAGAGATGAAAATATATTTTAAGGCTATCATAAAGATTTCCAATAGCAAAACCACATTTCTCGATATTATTTGATGTTGCGCTGACCTTAGACGTTCATCTTGGAGAGTGATAGAGGTTCAATCAATGATAGGAAACTCATCTTAGTTCCTACAATCTATATATGGAAAAGTATTTAAAGAAATCATTTACTTTGTATTGGTCATAATCATTTCACCTTAGACATCCATCTTGAAGAGTGATAGAGGCTCAACGATAGGAAACTCCTCCTGGTTCCTACAATCAATATATGAAAAAGTATATAAGGCAATCTTTTACGTTTAATTTAAAGAGGTTAGAATCATTTTTGTCTGTCAGATTTCAAATCGCATGGTTGTGAATGTGTCATTGAGTAAACCCAAAGTTCAGAAAAAAAATTGAGCATTATAACATGTCCTGACCCATCTAATTTGACACCTAATAGCTAGTAGCAATTGTGACCTCCTTACAACAAAAATAATTAGTCTCCTAATATATATTGCCATCTATATATTATATTTTATTAGGTGGGTCAAAATTCTATGGAAAAGTGTTTTGCGAGTCAGCGGACTCACTAGCGCGCTCAATCACAAACATCTATATTTGAGATGAACCTTCACAACTAAAGATTCCTATCCAATGGATAAGAACAATTTTAAAAAATTGTTCTAAAATTTTATTTTATTTTTTATATTCATGATCATCATAGTGTGGATCATGGATCTCGACAAATTTGGATTCAAGATCTATGTCAAAAATGGGTGTTAGAGGAAGCACGCACAAAAATAGTATGGATTGGCGGACTCATAAAACCCCGTCTAAATTCAATACCCAAGACCAAGAGCATAGAATTGGGGCTCTTACAGTTGGGAAATGTTTCTATGCTTCCCCTAAAGCATAGAAGTTCTATCCTCCTCCTACCATCCAGCCGTCCAATTTTGATCAAGATAGCCACTCACTGTTTGATCTTAGATCCAACGTCTCAAATTATTTTATTTTTAGTTTTTTTTTATACAAATTGTATGAATATGAAATTTGGTACATGCCATCTTCTCATTGAGGCTCACTTATAAAAAATATTAAAAAAAAAATTGAAGATATATAATGACCAAAATACCCTTTAAAGTTTTCAAGGGTATTTTGATCATTTTATTTTATTAAAAATATATTTCTTATATTTTTTGCTAGTGCGAGTTTAATAGAGGAATGGACGTCCAAAATTTGGTGTCAAAAATAGTTTATAGAAAAAAATTAAAAATAAAATAGCGTAGAGACATGACATTGTGATTAGGGCAAGCTAAGCCCTCCATTCAGAATGGACGGTTGGATAAGGGGGATGATAGAACTTCTATGCCGTAGAGGAAGCATAGAAAGCTTGTCCCTTACAGTTTACACTTTTAACCATCGAGCCCAAGCGTTAAACCCACCGCACCATTTTAGCTGTCCTTACCCCTGTTGAGCACAATGTCGAACCCATTATTTCAAATTTAAGATTGCTTCTACTACAATTAAAAATGATATATTTTTTTGTCCATAGATCCGTGTGAATTGTTTCATCAACCAATTATATAAGGGATTATATGCAATGAGACTATTTACTTTGGATACACGAAGGTCATAATTACTCACTACCATCCAATATAATAGCTTGGATGTGTCATAAAGTTTGAGAATTTTTTTTTTGAAAGTTTAAGATTGGTCAATGGAATAAATGCATCCATCTCATTTCGCATCTAATGGTGAATATTAATTGTGACCTCATTATACCAAAGATAAATGCTCTGATTATATACTTTTGCATTATGTAAAGAGAAATAAAGAAATAAAATTTGGGATCGAGGACAACAAAGATGATGCGCATACATGGAATGTTTAGTGGTTGTGTTTTGTTAAATAGCACCAAGTATTTTTTGTATTATCCTCAAAATGTTTCTTGTGGTTTAAGGGTATCATCATCCATCATATGCTTAGTAATATAAATAGGAAAGTAACACAAGGAGACCATCTCCCTTTGGTACCAAAAAAAACCGCATTATCATCCCTAGCCGGTCAAACATGAAATCAGTGCGCTTGGGGTGTCTATGAAACAAGCTCTACATTTAAGAGAATATTTTAAATTGATATCCAACAGTTAAAAGTGATTATGACTTTATTGTACAATAGAATCACATTTTGTAAGATACAATCTCAAGTGAAATAATTATAAGAGGACTCTGTATCATTACAGACAAACATTAGAAGCACTGGTATTTTTAATGCACCAAGATTGTTGGCCTATGCTACGGGATTTGGCAAGCCTTCCAATAACCCTCTTTAAAATATTGACACCCCAAATATATTTGATATGAATAGTAATACGTCAAATGAACAGGAATAAGATACTAATGCATTTTAGGATAAAATCACCGTTAGCATATAAAAAATAGTATTAACATGACAACCTTGGTTACGTTAAGATGGGGAACAATCTCGTAGAGGTGGTCAACGCGAAAGGTATCACAATTTGACGTCTAGAATTTTGTTCCTATTTTTTTTGTATCACTGTCTGAGGCAACGATTGAATGGTGATTTCTCACATGACCACATTGTTCCCACAATCATATCGATCATAGAATGCTTTCTCTTCACACATTTGTTGTGTGCCTTACTAGTGCTCATAAAATGAGCATAAAAGTGTGTTTGGATGGGCCCATTTGTTTACTTCAACCGAAAGATAAGGGGCATATTAGTGGGATGCAAATGGTGGAATCCAACACAAATACTTGATGAAAAATGCATTTAAGTACTATTTTAATATGAATTCCGGAATTGCCCGTCCTATTATTATACATCATGAAAGAACTTTATTTAGTTGAAGCCATATTTGAAAAGAGAGAACTTATAAAGCATATTGTCCATTTATTCCCTTGGGGAGAAAACCTACTTGGGAGAATTTTTTGGATCTAAAATTTTAGGAACTACCAGAAAATCACTTGATTTTTTTTAAAAAAAAAAATTGAATTTGAAGTTTTCTAACACTTAGGTGTCACCTTAAAAAATTAGACGGTGTTCAATGTTGAGATGTTATTTTTAATAGATAAAGACTGTGATTTAGAAGTTCTCTTTGTTGATGTTAGTCATATAGGTTAAAGAGGTTACACCCTAAATTTGGGATCCTAAATTACTCCTAGGTTGGATTTTCCTGGAAGGAGTAATGAATATTATGCATCCCCGTGAGTATAAATCTTTTGA